CATAGTTTTTATACTCTAAACATCAACAACAATAATATTGAACTTTAAACTTTCTTTTTAATTTACTCAAATTAAATTTTTGAGTTTATATTTCACATTTTCTTTCCACATGATTATTTTTAGGCTAGTTTTTAATTTTAGTACCATTCGTTTAAGCTCTAAATGTGCTAAAATAAAAATTCTAAAAGAGTTTTATTAACTTGAAAAAGCGAAAATAATAATGTTAGAGTTCAGTGCCATTTCTTTTTCGAAATGTAGCTGCATCACTTTTTTGATTGATCTTGTGTAATGTTATGGGATTTTGAGAATTGACAAAGGCGAATTGAATTTAAGGAGTTTATGATTGTCATTTTCCTTTTGAAAATTAAATCTACGGTGATACCAAAGGTTTTAATGTGAATTTATTATTTAATAAGAATTTTTAAAAGCTTCGTTAATTAATTTTTTCAAACTTAAACTTTAAAGCTTTCAAAAGTCTAAGACTTAAGTGAATTAGTTTAAGAAGTTTAAAAAAATAGGTGTCAACTATTCTATTGCTATATTGAAGTTACATACTGTTCCATTCTTTTAAATAATGAATTAAACTAAAGGTTACAATTCATTGTTTTAAAATTTCTGTCATCACTTTCCGTAAGGATCTTTTTGTCTTCAACTCATAATTTAAATTCATTTGAACATTTCAGTTGAATTCAATTTCAATCATAAACTCTGATTTTTAAATTTAAGAAATTCAACCATCGTCAAATTTCAAGGATTTTCAATTCCATTTGAATTTATTTAAGTCAACTTTAAAACACGTGTCTCATATTATTAATCAATCCTGTTAATCACATGCAGTTTCTAAAATATTTAAAAAAATAATTAGAAATATTTCTATGATCAATAAATCCAACATCAACCAATGAATCAGCAACATTTGAGTGCACAAAAAAAAATTGATAAAACAAATAAAATCAGCTAAGGCACAACACCGATATTGTCAACAGTACATCACTAAAAATACCTGTATGTCTTAAAACTTTTACAACTTTAATTCGTATTTTATTCTTTTCGAGCGTCAAACACAATGCACTAAAATGAAGATTATGATCAAAAACATGGAGGATATATTAAGAAAAAAAAAAATTGCAACTTTTCTTTTGTTTGTTTTGTCTGTCTTTATAATTCACTATTAATAGATATGTTTGATGAATTGAATTGTAAAGGATTTTCTTTATGTCTTAACTCGATGCCAGTTACAATCAAAATGAGAGTGGATGAAAAAAAGTTTACATATAGCAAAAATGAAGAAAAATTAAAGCCACACATTTTCTCGGATCAAGATAACGGTGCATTGAACTAAAAACTGAGGAAAATTTTTCTTTCTTTACTTCCATAAATGATATGTAATGTTTCATGGTGTTGCTTTTATAATGAACATAACTATATGTATAAATATGATGATGGTAGTTACTACAAAGTAGTCCAAAATAAAGGAGCAGTAATGGGGAAAAACTGAAATTATATTTCATTCTAGTACGTGGTCAGTAAAAGAAAAAGAAAATGTACAGCAATTATACCATCAATCTCTTTAAAAATTTTGCTTTGTTCATTATAACATACATGTACACACACCATAAACATAACATCCAGTCAACAATTATAATCGCGAAAAAAGAGGAATTATGTTCACTTTACAAACCATTGAGCTGAGCGTCGTGATTTTCATATTTGGGTCAGGAAAAATTGTGTGAAACAGAAAGGGTGGTCATAAGAAGTGAAATGAAGAAAAATTGTGTGTCGCTTTACTTTTTCTTTCTTCTTTTTGTTTTCATTTCTTTACACCACAAATGAAACAAGTTGTAAGTCGATGAGAAAGAGCGAAATTTTGAGTCAGGAAAAACAATAGCTAATGAGCTCTTTGGAGCGCAATGGAAGTTGAAGTTTGAATTGTTTGGGGTTGTCTGGTTTTTAGTAAATATAGCTTTGTAGATTGTTTAAATATATTATGTTTCATTCAAGTCAAGTTCAGGTATTGATTGAGAGTTCAAGGAAAGTGATTTTTGAATGTATTTTGGAATCAATCTTGACTCTTCAGAAATTCTTTTCTTCTGTTTCGAACCAAACAAGGCTGAATTACTTGATATCAAATTACATTGAAAGCTAAGGATTGGTTAACAGTTAAATAAGCACGAATGGCACAAGTCGATTAAACGATCAGAAAACCTGCATCAAGCTAGAGTGAATCGGGCATGGTTCTGGATATAAATCAAAGCCATGCCGAATAAGCTCCGGATTTCTATTCGATTAATCGACTTGTGTCATTCGGGAAGCCTAATCCTCCTGAGTTTGAGTCAAAAAGTCAGTCTTGCAGTTAAAGAATTCAATTAATTTGTATGAGTGTCTAGAAAACAAACAATTAATCAAGCAGTCGGAAAAAGTGAATGTCCTAGTCTGCACCAGTCTAAATTACCAAACAAAAAGTAAAAAGAAGAAGAATGCTAAAAGAAATTATAAAGGCAAATTAATGGTCAAGTAAGGAAAAAATCGATAAAGCTTTCGCTACATTTTGAGAGATTTCATTTCTTTCCTTTATGCCACATATTTTTCCCCTCTTTAAAGGAAAGTTCCAAGGTTTTGTTTGATTTCATTCTAGCCACTTTTTTTTATGTCCGCCATAAGTCAATCAAATGATATGAAATCAAAGAAAAGTTTCCTGTATTTTAACTGTCGCACAACTTGAAACTTAAGTCTGTATTGTTTGCGTTTTCTATCGCATTCTTTTTACTAGAATTTCGATCGCATCGCAATTCAAATATGAATATTCATTGCGGAAAATAAACTTTCACATGAGTGTTTGAAATAATGTCGCAGAAGTTAAAGAAAAAGTTTCCAATTATGCATAAATGCATACTGGCATGTGTTTCTTTTTTGCTTTATGAGATATGAGTTAACATAAAAAGTAAGTTAAAAATAAGGACAATCCGAGAAAAAAAAAATAAGTTTTTATTTTCTTATTATACAAAAATGTAAATCTTGATAAGAGAGCAAAAAAGTTTCTTTAAGCACCCAAATAAATGCTTTTCAGTTGAAAAATGCATTTTAATCATGAAATTGTGAATAGTTTCATGAACTTTTTCACCGCTGAATGTAGATTGTGTCACAAAAATAATTTTTTTTTCTCAAAAATAATCAATTAATAATATTCAGTTTTACCATTTTTTATCAAAAATTTATAGAATTGTAATCCACAAAAAATTTTCGATTCCAATTTGCGTTCAACAAAATCCAATTTGAACTTTCATTAATCTTTTGCACAAAATTTATTTTCTTCTTTTTTTCTCACAAAATTCCTTTTTTATTCACAAAAAAGTTTATCCGTCTACTCGCTCTTATGTCCAAAGATGAAATAAACTAACGAGTAGCGAACCTTTACTCCGTCACTAAATTAATTCTGTCCAATTAACATTTTCTTAATCTATAAAAACATATAATGTTAAGAAAGAAATATTGTACTTGTGCCAAAGCAGGCAAAAGAAAGAGCCACAAAAAGAAAATTTTAATTAATTTTCATACAGCAAAAAAATGTGTAAGCACAACTGGTCGTCATGAAACTGTGTAAGCTCACTTGATGACTTTTTTTTTGGGCATTAGCTTCTTTCGCTCGAAATAGTAGAAAACGCAAGGAATTTTCTCACGCACACAAATAAAATCAGGCACACCGAAAAAGAGGAAGAAGACGAAAGTGAAAATTGAGAGAATGGGGTGAATATTTTGGATACAATCAAGTCCGCAGGTGATCAGAACATGGAATTGTGTACATTACATTATTTTCACTCCTTATTGCATTGCTTTTGTGGTTATACACTCATATTTTCATTATTTGACGATACAATAAGCACGTAAAAAATGATTATCAAAAAATAGAATTTACCGCGTTGAGCATTGAGGTAAAAAAAATATGAACAGTTATGTAGAAGCACAGTCAAATTAAGGTTGTTAGTGATTTGGGATTCGAACCCAATAATGCAAGTGTTTAATTAATTAATATTTATCTTGTGTAAGAATTTTGCTTACCAATATCATTTTTAAATTTCTCAATTCTAGTTTCAACCATATTTTGATTTTATAACTACTTATAGCTTGATCTCTCTCTGTAAAACTAGAAATTCATGCTTAAATCCCTCGCTAGACAAGCCAAGAAATTTCTATATCTAATAATAATCAGAACACTCATGAAAATGGCAAAACAAGAGAAAAAGGAATTCATAAATTCAAATGCCTCGGTGAAAAGCCATCCACAAAACGAGAGGTAATAAAGCTTAAAGGTGAAATACTGGACAATCATGCGAAAGAATATTTTTTTATTGAGCATTACCCGCATTAAAATAATTCTTCATGCTCTTTCTTCTTAATCATTGGCATAAATTTTCTTTAACAACCTCAATGAGCTAAGGATTACAACACTTACTTTATTTAATTAATATTTTTCATATTCATATTCATGTATATCCTTTTTAAATTGCATTGACTTTCCTGTAAACGAAACCATTTAGCCTTGAATAAATTTCGAGGGGAAATTATTCGAATTTTGAACTTTCAATCAACCCTACAAACATGTTAAAGAATGCAACGACCTGTTACTGTATGGGAAAATAAGAGATAATGTTTGAGATCTTCATGGACATGCGTATAAGTCAATACAGAGATTAAACCAATGAATCGCTTCCGTTCTACTTTTTTTTACGACTCCTCCTTCATCACGTTTTGTCATATTTGGAATTTATTCGATGAGGGTTGAGTTGCTGTTTTCACCAATGTCAATCAACACATTCTACGGTAATTTTCTGGTGACTTATCGCATTTCAATGATCTTGTAGAAAAAAATTATAAAACAATTAAAAGTTTTCCTTTTTCCTGAAATTTTACGACCTTTTTATTGTTTTGTGGATATTCCTGTAATAATAGGGAATTAACAGCAAATAATAATAATTATAATTAAAAACTTTGAAGGTTGACTTTTTTTTTTGGAAACTCATAGCTTATTTTATTGTGTATAAAAATTTGTCTTTTTTCCAATTTCCATCTATTGTACTCTTTTTTTATGTGTGTATAAAATATGAATAAATTAAAATAAATTACGCAACATGTTGCATACTGTTTATGTATTCCAAATATGCAATTTTACTTTCCTGGTATTGTTTCTTATATTTATGAAAATGTGCAAACGAGTCTTTCTTTTCATCTAGGTCAACAACTGTAACGTTTGAAATAAAATGATGCGAATATCCTGTTGGTCCTGTTAGCTTCATGTAATTTCTTTTATCGAAAACTTTATCACTGTGTGGATGAAATTAAGGAAAATTAGATTTTATTTGGCTATTGTTCTGCAATTGAGTTAATGTTTGAAAATTTCTTGAATACATTAGCCTGAGGTAAATTATTTTTCATTGCGGTACCCTAATTTTTTTGTTTTTTAAGGGATCGATTTTATCAATTTCGAAGACCGAAGAACTCTTGGTTGTGTTGAATATGAAGCTTGAGTCCTGAGTATATCAAACTAGCAGAATGTGTCGAATGATAGAGCTGTCCTTAGGCGTTATCTAAGCGCGGCAATAGACCTCCATGCGCCCCAGCCAAGGAAGTACGTAAAGTAAGGAAATAATATTTAAATGACTCACTGAAGACTTGCTCTGTCTTACAGCTGCAGTTTTTGTTACGTAGAATGATATTAAATGATTTTTGTAGGGAAATTCAGGCAAACTACTGAAGATTTGATAGATTTTTAGACTCTTCAATTGATTTTAGATTTAATGTCATTTTCGATGCACACAAATGTAAAACTTGAAGATTTAACTCATAACTTAAAATGAAGCTTTAGTTGATAAGTGTCAATGAAATGTGTCAAATTTCACACAAAACAAATAAAGCTTCATTCAATTGTGCAACATTTCCTCATAGTACATCAATTTCCCATGACACACAATTCTGACAACATTCTTTTGATTAATTATGAATAATTATCAAGTAAAATTATTCAGTTTTCTTCAGTCCGATTAGAACAAGATTGTCAGTTTGTTTCCAAAATATATTAATTATATGATTTTGCAATAAGAGTGATTAAGACATTTAGTTCAAGGAAACTTGCGACTTTAATTATTGTTCATTTAAAGTTGAAAATCAAATATTCAAAATGAGCTGTCAGCGTGAAAAAAGAAAGTAATATTTCGTCATGATTGGTTCTGTCGTAATGAACGGAATTAGCAATTTTTTTGAAGTTTGCATGACACATTAATAGATAAATAATTTTGAATGGAATTAATATGAGTGAACGTGCTGAAATGCGTCAGTTATTATCAAACTTTTATCTAGTGCCGTAATTTTATCTAGTAATTAATAAAAATCATATGAAATTTTTTTTAAGAGCTTAAGGTCAGTTGATAAAAAAAAGTGTGAGGCGAAATTCCCGAAATAAACACTTGAAAAACCACTTAAATCTTTTGAATTTGTATCAATTGATTTCATTGAAAGACTTTAACCACTCGAGATATGATGACTTGTGTTTAAATCTATATACTTAACTACTGTTTAAGTTTTTGAGTTTTCTTTTCAATGCCTGGCTGTTTTCAGTTTCTTATTAGATGGATCAAAGGGTTTCTAACCTATCTTTCATTCAGACTACCTTTGGACTTCCTCAGGTTAACATCAAGATAATATCCAAATAAAAAACTTAACCTACTTACCTCTCAATATTGAAATCCTCATTAACATTGATTTGACGAAAAGTGATCATAACAGAACAATCTAAAGCTGTGCTTCCCATCCTATAGTCTTGTATGATTTGACCATAGCCATCTTCACAATTAATATTATCTTCAAGATACTCCATAATAGAAAAATTATCTCTCACTAAATGCTGTGCTTTTAAAATACTATACAAAATGCAATTCTTCGGAAGTTGGGGAAATTTTTCAGCATGACAATTCCTAAGGTGAACATCTTCATCACACTCATATGTAGAATAGACATCAACATTCATATCACAGCAAGTAAAATCTTTAATTAAAGTCCTGCGTATTAAATTTATTAGTAACGATTCCTGCCTTAATTTTTTGGGGTGAAGAGGAAAAGAAAAATTATTAAATAAGTTAAAGGAACAGCAACAAAATGAATTTATTAACTTACTTATCCACACTTTTCGCATCCGGAAAAAGGCTTTTCATTATACGCTTTAGTAAGACTTTATCAGGCGAATATTCATTGTAGACCATTTTACCGTCTTGAAACATTTTCAGATTATTTTGAGGGTTTTCAAAAAGTCCTTTTATTGCACGATTCATTCGGTCAGCTTTGCCTGAGAATAAATCGATTGGGCAGTATTGTGAAATATTGGAAATTTTAGTTGTCTTTAGTTTTAAATACTAAAATACATGGTAAAAAATGCAAATTAATTTAATAAATTGGCACTAATTGACTGATGTCATACCTGGAAATAACAATAGCGACACTTTTTTGTCTCATAACTTCGCGTGCTGATATCTTCATCCATCATATAACCTTGCTTAACTTTTATTTCAATGCAAATCGTTGGTGAATCCTTGAACTCGCCATTCATAGGCTTACCGATGTAAATTTCTTTCGGTAAAAATGCCACATCTCGATAAACAAGCCCATAGTTATATCCAATAATTTTCTTCCTTCGTACAGCTTTATAGTTTCAATAAAAATAGCATAACATCATGAAATCACATTAATGTTTGAATAATATTAAAATTATAAAATAAAGAATCAGCTTACCGGGTCGGTCACGCATTAGAAATTCATTCAATGCGTTTATGTCGACATCTACGAAAACTATTTTTGGCACGACGGTAAAGTGATCAAAGTACTTTTGCAGTAATTCTTCGAAAACGATGAAGGACATGAGCTCATGTTTATGATCGTTACAGTTCCGTTCGGCTATAAATGGAACAGAATAAATTTAGACAGGGATGTGGCATTGTGACATAAAAGTTGAGGGTGAATTGTAACGTTAGAATGACAAGGTGTATTGTTGGGATAGAACTAGGTTCTTTAATGGTCTGCTATGGTTTGAAATTACTTCAAAGTAAATGTTGAGCTAGCTTGTTTCTAACTTTATATTAATTCTATAAGCAATTAGAGTCGATTGTAGATTAAATAAACAAAACTACAAACTTATTAATCAGAATCTAAATGAAAACAAAAGCCGGTCAGTTTACAGACTATAAAAACATATTTAAGAACAAAGTCATAAAACAATTGACTGTTTAATCAACAAAAAAGTAAGACAAACCGGCAAAAATTCAGTAGCAAAGAGTATGAATCATTACTATTAAGTAAATAAACCATAAAAAAAAAGTCATTTTAATCTAATGTAACCCATAGCAGTTATGAGTCAGAAATGATTATGTCGCATTAAAGCAAGAATGTCCACAATGTGTGATATCTTATAAGAAAAAAACTTTATCATAAAACGTCGCTATTTTTGTAAAACGAGCTGTTTACGGTATTAATGAGATAAGCATTTTTTTTGTAGCACTTAATTGACAACAGTTGTTTGAGTCGAACATTAAATTGAATTAGTTTTATTTGCCTTCAAAATTTACTTACTAGAATCAGATGATATTTTCTTAAACCGAATGACGTACTTTTCCTCATTCTCCTGTGCATAAACGCTTAGCACTATATTCATCTAAAAATATTATAAATTTTAATTACATCCGTCACTATTTTAAATAAATGTCAAATGATCTACTTACATTTCCTTCATCACGATAATAAAGAACTTTCTCCAAGCAGGTATCTTTGAGATTCAATACAATCTCTTGGATATTATTGTTGAATATTGTTAATGTTTTATTATACATCATGAAACTATTGCACTGATTCCGCCACACTAACCTTCATGTGTCAACTCTTCAATTGCATTTAAAGTTGACTCATGTTTACCTTCTCTATTTGTAGTGAAAAGATAAAAATTTAAATCTTTTTGAGGTCTCCACAATATGGCTCAATGTAATTTGATATTACACATTTACCATTCGGTTATTCTTAAATATTTTTAATGCACTTTAAAATTGATGCAAATTTAATCACATTTTATGTCACACGACATCAAAAATTTTCAATTATATTGAGTAAATTTCTATTTGTAATTACAGTAGGTAGTAAATGTCTTTGGTTCATCTAAAGTCTACAAAAATAATATAAATAACAATTTGTCGTAGTTGTCTTTCCTTCAAGTTCCAAAGATATAACTATCATGAGAATTGGAGAGAACTTTTTTTGGGGAAATTTTCACAAAATTTATTTTTAGAGCTGATTATGAATGAATTTTTAAAATCTATAAATGATTTGACTATTAAAATTTTAATGAGATTCAGAATAAATTAATAATGGAAGAGATTGTAGAGTTGCTCAATAAATGAATTTTGTACATTATGAATGAAAAGAGGGTTGAGAGGAGATTTACTCTAAATTCAAGGGGTTGAATGAATGAAAATTTGTGTCATGCTGCACAGTCGTATAGTATGTGTCGTCTAACAGACAAAGAGAGTCAAATATTAGGAATCAAAATATGATGAATTGAATTAATGCCAATAGATTAAGAAAAATAAACAAAACGAAACATTTTCCCAACTTTTTTTTTCATGCTTAAAACTGCGTTAAAAATGGGAAAAACAACACACATCAATAATATTTCTTTGCGAGCATGTAGATATGTATAAGAAAATGTTTGAGAGATGTGAGAAAAAAAAATTGAGTAAAAAATGAATTTTTTTTGGAGAAAATGAGAGCAAGAGTGTCCTATGTATCGAGGACCGCGAGAGAAGTTTTGATTTTTCCCTATACATTCACTTTTCCCACTTTTCCACAATCTCGCGAAGGGTGTGCCCGCACATAATCGGAAAATAAGAAAGATATTTAATAAAAAATTTAATTTAAGATATTTTAAAGTGAACTTTAATATTGAAAACATGTGAAATACTTAGATTAAGGCTCATGTAATGTGAAGAACATAAAATTTATCATTAAAATGGTGGACGAAGAGTTTAAATTGTGAAATAAAATTTTTCATCATTCTTGGGATCCTTTTTTACGGCTCATTTTTCCGAAAGAAGGAAAAAAGAATTTTTTTTCTCTCATTTTAAGTGTATGTGTGTGTGTGTGTGTGTATGTGGCTGCAAGTTGTATAAAAAAGAAGGTGGAAAAAATGTGAAAGAAAGGAACAGAAGAAAGAAAAGAAAGTTATCCTGTAAAAATATATAAATTATCGTATTTCAGTCGTAAGCAAAAAAAAAGAAAACATTTTAAGTCATAAAGTGTGTAATTTAAGGAATTAATCCAAGATATACAAAAAATAAGTAGGAATAAAAAAAAAGTTTTTTGTGGAAGCAAAAGGAAAATTTTAAATTGGAGTCTTTAAAAGGAAATGAACATCATGGGCTTCGATAATTATCTCGAAGAACAATATCAAGTTCCATTTTTAGCTAAAATTCTTCACTCTTTACCACATCTTAATATCACACTTCATCGAACAAACAACACTTTTCGGCCGACCGATGAAATATATCTTGAGGTTAGTGTGGCACTAATTAATTCTGTCTCTTTGGAATATTCATGAGAAATTAATGTCTATAAAAAATGTGACATTAATTCCATCAACATATTTCCTAATTCCTATATTATGTATATTAACATTTTTTTTTATTCTTTCAACATATTCACGAACAGAGTCTTGGTCTATTGGGATCTATTCCCGCAGCTGCTCTCATTCTTTCACTTTTTTGTCTACTCCTTTATTTAATGTCGCGATGTTGCGATCGAAAACCTCGCCCTGCACATTCCATCACGAGTCTCAAAGTTACATTATCTATAGTCACTGTTTTGTGCTGTGCAGCAATAGGTCTCGGTAAGTTCAATAAAAAATATCTCAACTACTTGACATAGATATAAATTTCTCGTGTCTTCTTTTGCTGAAACAATACGAGTAGTAGCTGGTAACCGTACACTTTTACACCCTCACATTGAAGTATCATAAATTTCAATGACAAGAATGCTCATCCACAAAATATTCTATACTTTCTATGCCATCAAATCAAATTAGAATTTTTTCGTTTTTTTTCCTACACATTTACTAACTCATGTCAAACATTTCTATGTACAGGATTATATGGAAACGATGATTTGCATAACGGCTTACTCGAAATGTTAACGGCAGGCAGAAAAGTAGACAATCTTGTGTCTTCAGTTCGAAATCAAACGAATGCACTTGAGCATACATTAACGCAAAAAATAAGACCACAATTGACGGAATTGGCAGACGTTTTTGATGAGCCTGTGTCAAATCAAACTGCTTTGTCATTACTCATTAATTCATTGGATATGGTGCAGAAGAATATTACAATTGCTACGAATGCGGCTGGCGACATAAGGAGACCGTTGATGGGAATTTCCTTGAATCATGTCTTGAATGTAAGTTTTCTTTTCTATTCTTTTATTGTATTAGTGAGTGACTATATCCTTAAAATGTAAACTACATAATAATAATTTTCACAGAAAGGAGATCAGTATGAACTTATAAGATGGCCTGGAACTGTTGCGATATTGGGACTTTTACTCATTTTATGTGCTGTTCTGCTCGTCGGTGTTGCACGACATTCACGCTGTGCATTGATCTTGTTCTCTGTATGTGGACTTGTAGCTGTCACAGGTTCATGGTTAATGTCAGGAATCTATTTATCCGTGTCTGTTGCAATTGGCGATTTATGTGCTGATCCAGCTGAATATCTTGTCTCACAATCACCATCTGGATTACCAGCAGACGTGCTCTTATACTATGCACAATGTGAAAGTCATCGAGCAAATCCATTTACACAACGATTAAGGGAGTCTCAAACTGCAATTAACAGTGCTCGAAACTCGATGAATATTGTGTCGAAATATTCAGTTCAATTATTCAAGAAGGCAGGATTACAACCTAAATTGAGCTCTGTTATTTCCGATTTGAATACAAGCGAACGACTCTTGACTGGTAAAATTGATAATCATCAAATATTTATTCGAGACAATTTTGGTCCGTAAATATTGAATGCCTTAAAATTTATCTTTTTAGGTTTAACTGCACTAGTGGATTGTAAGCTTATACACTACAATTATTATGTCGGTACACGTGGTTTATGTGAAAGTGGATTGTTCGGTCTTGTTTTAATGCTCATTGCAAGTTTCCTGGCTGCATGTCTACTCACAATAATGGTAAAGAAAAATTCTTAGAAATGTTCAATTTTCCTCCTCTATCTATGACTGACTGTATGAAATATTAATATTTTAATAGATTTTCATTGACTCGCACACATGGATTTATATTCGCAAGCGCAATGATTACGCCCAAGTTGAAGAGCAGCAACAGTATGCAATTGCACAACAGCAGCAACAACAAATGCAAAATCACCAGACAATGGCACATCGAACTTTACCAAGACAGCAGAATGGGTAAGAAATAAATTTATTTTCATTGTTTTACGACTTTTTCGACGAAAAAAAAGTGGAGCAGTTTTTACTGCATGTGGTGGGGGGAAAAGTGAGAAAATGTTTTATGATGTTATCCTTTGTGATGAAAATCCATTTTCTTGAAAATGTTAATGACAAGCTAGTGACGTGAATTATATAATGAATCTTTAAATCTTTTAGACCTCCAGTCATTAGTGGATCCCATACACTGCAACATCCAAATAAAAATAAACATCATGAAGGCATGATACCCGCTCATCATCATCCTCCACAAATGCGACCAATGGGTATGGGGACCCAAACTCTAGGCAGAGCTCATCATCATAGTCCGAGCCATATGAGACAAAATAGCGGTAAGACATGATTCATTTCTTGTGTAACTTCAAGATTTATATTTATTTTAAATTTCAGCTTGTACAGACCATACTCATCCTCATCCTCATATACAACCGCAGCAAAATATTTACCAAACTCAACAGCAAATTCAGGTTCCACCGCATGCACATTATAAACAATATAATCCGAATGTTTCATTTACTGAGCAGTTGCCACCACCGCCAGTCATAACTACAGCTGCTCATCCTCCTACCATTTCTGGAAATCCAAATTATACACCTCAACAACAGCTTTATATCCAGCAACAACAACAGTTGTATGTTCAGCAACAACAACAATATCAAACATTAAGGAGAAAACAACAAGCACAAGCTGTAGCTCAAGCTCAAGCTCAGGCACAAGCTCAAGCACAAGGTCAAATGAATCAAATGCCTCCTCAGCAAATTTATCAACCAAATCCAAATCAACAGGATAAGAATCAACTTCCACCGCCTCCGCAAGTAACCCAACAATTAGTTATGACTCAATCTCAACAAATTCCACCAATTCAACATCAACAGTATGTCACATCATCTGGTATGAATTATACTCCAGCTACAATGGCTGTTGTGACTGCAAATAATGCAATTTATGTTCAGTCATCACAAGCTCCACCGATTCAACAGCATGCTAGTATGGATAATAATATGATGTATGATCGTGACAAACAGATTTATAAATGCTCAACGCTCGGACGTTACGGTGCAAAATTTAATTCACAACATCAACAGAACTTGGTTCCAGCAGTGATTCCAACTGTTCCACAGTTACCAAAGTATAATAATCAAGCACAAGTTACGACTGGTGCAGTAACAATACCAACGCAAATGACAACAAATACTCAAGTAATGAATAATGCGAATTTAAGGCCATCAATTCAAAACTGTCCCTTACCCGACATTCCGTCAGTGGGAACGTTTAAGGGAAATAATGATGACATAGGTATAGGAACGAATAACGATTTGCCACATAACAGGTGTGTATTGATTGACTTTTGATAGTCTTATTTGGGACTTAATTTACATATTTCATTCTTTCTTTGTAGATTTTATACACAGAAAAGGCCGATTGGAGGAAAGCCTGTACCTCTGCCAAAAATAAGCTCATTTGAATCAAATCAACCAAATTATTTAAATAGCAACATCAATAATAATAATAACAATAATAATACTAATATTAATGGAAATTTAAACAATAATAATAATATTAATATTAATCAACAGCAACAACAACAGCAACAATCGAGTAGTGATAATAATAGCAATATCAAAAACTCCATTAACTCTAATAATATTTCAATCGTAAATAACGCTCCAAACAGCCAAATGAATACAAATCAACAGCAGCAACAATTAATGCAGCAGCAGCAACAGCAAAATTTACCACCACCGCCACCACCAACAGATGATAATTACGCCGTAACGGAATTATGAACAGAATTATAGGATAAAAATGATCATGTTGATGAGTCAATGGCACTTGTTCGTAACACTCCATTTGTATCACTATAAATTAACGTATTCATGTAGTTTTGAGCTGAATATGCCAAAGGATGATGAGAGAGGGAAAGACCTATGGAAAAAGATACATGTTATAGTGAAATGATGAGACATATCATACACAGGATTTTTTTTATCATCGCGAGCTTGTTTCATAGAGAAAAAAATGTGTTTTTTTATATGGAACTAAGGTTCATGACAAACAATCTAGAATGAGACTCGAAAGTTATGCACACAACAAATACTCATTATCATGCACACAAAATGACACTCACACACATACTGATTCGGCCGAATAGTTGAAGAGTGTCAATTTTTCTAATCGTCATATTCACTTCTAATCCTATCACTAGCAAATCTCTTTTAACTTCCATCAATCTTATCTTTCACACTGTCTTTCTCTCTATCTAATGTAGATGATTAACGATAATCTGTTAGAAGTAAACAAAAAAGATGTCAAAATGGTCCAATGGAGATTTTAAAAATTTTTTTTTTTATATAATCACGAAAATGATGGGGGATCGTTCATTAATGATGTTTGTGATTAAGAAATTTACTTCCGTATAAGGCTTCTAACTTAGTAGCAATTTAGACAGACTATTGCAATGAAATTGTGGAGAAGAAGGAATCAAAAACTTCAAAAACTGAACTTTTTTGGATAGAAATTTCCTAAAGGACAGCAAGAAAAATTAAAAATCTCGCAAATTCTATCAAAATAGCAAATTTAAAGATTTTTTTTGAGCCCTTATTATCACAATTTTCTGCTAGATTCGTCATGACTTGCTCCTGGTTTATGAAGTATTTCCAGATCGTCTCGGTTCTAAATGTTAAATATCATAAACGAATGAATCCCTGATGTAAATTGGATTATTGTTGAGACTTCTAAAGGATAATATACAAACAAATATTGAAAGGATGATGATCAAAAAAAAAGGATAATTGAAAGCCAAAGGCTGAATTCTACGCAATTAACAATTTTTTGTACATAATTTTTCCATTCTTTTATTCTTTATATAAAAAAGTGACATCCAAAAATGGAAACTCGATGGATAAAAGTTTTTTTTTTTTGAGAGAGACAAGAAATTAAGGAACAATTTTAACAGTTGTGTATGTTATTTCATAAAAAAAATCACAAGATTAAACGATTAACTAGTCAAGATTAAAAATACTCATTAAAAATCGAAATTCATAAGAAAAAATTTACATTCCTAAAAAAGGCGAATAAAAAAAATATAAAAACTTTTTTAAAAGTGAATAGTGAGCAAGGACGGATTAAAGTGTGAAGCTGAATGAACGAATGGAAGGAATAAATTTTAATAATTAATGTATAACGGGTTAGATAATAAGGATTTCAAATTATGAGGGAATAAGTGTTGAAGAGTTGAAGTTATTTGATTAGATGGAGTTAAAACTTTATCAAGAAAGTGTGATGATGTATCGGAACTGATTAAAATTGTGAAGAATATAAAATGAAAATTAAGTAGTGCTGTTTGAAAAAGTAGAAAGAGAAAAAAATCAAACAAAATTCATACGAATTTGGTGCTTATTGGTACACAATTTAGAAACTCTAGTCATGAAAATTTTTTACATAAGCCCTATCGTGCGAGGAAAAGTGCAAAATCGTCATTTAAAAAAAATTCAGAAATTTGATTTCAATGTAAAATGAAGTCGCATGTAATTTTTTTATTCAGTTGCTCGAAACACTTGGGAAATAAACATGAATTCTTTTGCAATCCGAAGAAATCACAGTCATAGTTACAAAGTAGCTTGTTAAAATAGTAATCAGAAATCGTGTGTAAAAACAATTTCCAACTTAGCGAAAATTCAATATTATGACGTTTATATTGAATATTTAATAGAAGGGTGTATCCAGTAATATAGGATTGGGGTGGTATCTAATTTCTTTGTTTCGTTATACAATTTTTTAGGATTATTTTCATAAGCTCAAAATGGATTAAGGTTTAATATCCAAACAGTCAAATTGAATCAACTTCTAAATTTGTGTCAGCTTCGAGTTCTGCTTAGATTTTTTTAAAAATAACTTTTGCCTTCGCCTCTTTTAAAGTATCAAGAATAAAATTTACGATTTACTTTGCTTTTGTATTGTAAATTGTTATTTTAAAGTTGTGCTACTGACTGTCGTTATATTTGAAAGCGTCCTCAATAAGTTGGAAGACAGTTGGAAACTTCTAAAGTGGGTCTAGTTATTAAAACTTAATAGTTCATGTTTTATAAATTTCCTAAAGAAAAACTTTATAAAAACAGCAAAACTTGCAATAATACCTAATAGCTACCCATCAAACTTAGTATATTGCAAATATTAGAGTCAATTTATGATCAAAATCTTCAAATTCAAAATACATCAATTTAAGACTATTCAATTTACCTGAATTAAATCTTAAAGCAGTTATCACAATGAGCCTATTAATGTCATTAAATCAAATTGCTTCAACTCATCAGCCTTGAACCTCAAGAATCATTATAAACGAGAGCACTTGAAGAAAAGGAAAAAAAATGAAAGCTAAACTTATTAAAAATAAATTAAATTAGACTCAAAATTTTGAAAAATACTCAAAAAAAATGTAATTGTATAAAAGAATTGTAGACATTAAGATATTTAAAAAATCAAGTGAGAAAGTTGCAACCAAGAATCTAGCAAAAATTTACTTCCAAATAAATGGGAAAAAAAACTAGTCACAACTCATTCAAATCATGATTAACGCTTTTTTTATAGAAAATATTTTTTAAATGGTCGATCATTTATTGAAGCGGCATAAAAAATCTCAAAATAACATCACATAAAGTAACTAGTAAAAACAAAAAAAAAACTTCTGAATTTATAATGTACTGAATAACTTAATAAATAAAGAAAAAAAAAACTTTTTTTTTGCTATAAAAGCATTAGAAATGAAAGATTTTGCGCAATTTTTACATTTGAGGAGAAAAAAGTTGCTCCCGAGAGACCAATTTTTATATTAATCCATTCAACCTACACACGTTGTGTTACATAAAGTGAAAAAAAAATAAATATTTATATCTTAATCCACCATATAAGAACAAAATTCGTTCCACGTTACATAATGCATTCCAAAATAAATATTTTCTACTTTTGTAATCCAAAGCTTCTTTCTTCTCCTCAAATTCTGTCGGAAAAATTGTTGACAAGACAAAATATAAAGAAGAGATTCCTCAAATATGTATGAAAATGACGATGAAGGAAAACAAAAAGAGAAACAATATTCTTATTATGTTTATTATGATTATTATTATATGAATAATGGTATTAAAAATGCAAGACTAAATGTTTTTTGAAGCCCACGTATATCTACATAAAGATTTTCAAACATTAAACATATTTTATCAATCAACAACTATAGCGTTTATCACATACATATACAAAAAATTAATACAAATTAAATTATATGAATTGCGGATATTTCTTTTCATGTTAATAGACAATGAAGGTAATTCAAGGAGGTTTGAAGTGTGGTTTGGAATTCTTTTTGATTGAATAAAAGTTCTGTGGTTGCTGTTTAGAAATCAGGATAGCTGTAATGAATTTTTAACGAATTCGTATAGTAAGTTTGCTGCAACAACATTCAGAAAACTTCAAACTACAAAGCTACAACAAAAACAATTCCAATCCACAAGTTCTTTCGTGACTTTAAAAAAAATGGAAATTAAGTCAAATTTTGTAAGCATAAATTACAGATTATTATTAATATCATTAGATAAGCTGCCAAAAGAAATTATCATTGAGAAGAAAGAAGGAATCGATTATAATTTGCGAAAAAAAGGAGACTAGATGAGTTCAGTCATTAATTAATTGATATGCTGAAATTTTTTTTTGCTAATTATAATGGCACGAGAGAATGAGTACGCCTACATATGTTGGGCAATAATGGAATGTCAGCATTGATTATCGATTACAATGCTCTCAATTAATTAACGACTACAATGATTTCTCTTTAGGGCAAATAAATTAATTAATTAAATAGAATAATTTTTTTACAATAAAAAAGAATATTTTTTTGATTTTAAATTGCCTCTGAACTCATAAACAAAATAATCCACAACTGATGAAAAGAGAACACAAAACATAAGATGTAGAAACTTTTTCTCAGCTCAAAAACTATGCAAAACTGAAAATGTGGTAAAAAAAACATTTTAATATGTGAATAAAGGAATATTGTGGGTTAATTATTTAAATAATTTTGTGTCAATTTTTTATTTAATTAATGATTAAAATTCATTCACAATTTAAAACTAATTCAATATTATTGCTGTTTAAAGAATAATAAGGTAGGTTTTTAATTTAATTTAATTTAGATATATTCTCTTTTTTTTGGAACGGATCAATGAATAGCTCTATACTTGGACGATTACTCAAGTTGTCCTTACTTAGAAAAGCTTTCATTTATTTTAATCTAGGTTAATGCGTTACTTAAGCAACTGGCTTTGCCTCCTCAACAGGCGATGCTGTATTCTGAACTGCAACTTGTTGTGCTAATGCTGCTTGCTTTACTGAATTTGTGCTACTTTGGCTTTCATTCCTGGAATGACTTGTACTACTTCTACCCTGTTGGGAAGGATTTAATGGAAGTTGCATATGATACTTGTAGATATTCTCAGTAGATTCAACAACACCTTGTTGTAAGTTCAAGGATCTTCCTCTGATTCCTGTACTGGTTTCTCTGGGTAATGGATTTATCCAATTTAACACACTTCCGACAACAGGTACGACTCTTAATATCCCGTCATTCCAAACTTTTTCGTCTGCTTCCTTTTGCAAGTCAGTTTGTGCTGCATGTATGCCAGCTTTAATTAATTCAGCCATCGAATCGAGAACTTTCGAGCTTTCTTGAATTTCATTGCCAGCACTAATTACTAAATCTAATAATTCCTCAATGTCAGTTTCACTGGTTACCATTCCAAAACGAATGCATGCTAATCCATCGATGGATTCGCCAAGACTAAAAGCATTATCACTTGAGCGCAATTTTTCTACTAATTGCATATTTAACTTATTTAATTCTGATTTTTCCTGATCTGTCTCCATTTTTTCCATGATTTCTGGAACGTAATAAACTCCGCCCAGACCTGCCCAATCATCAGCCAGTTGAACAATTTTTAATACTGGGCTTCTTTCAATCAAGTCAATAAATGTTTGCTTTTTCTGAACGGTCGCACATAAAATATCTGCTTGATTTTCAAAGAATTCATAGAATTCAGTAAAAGCGTCTAAAGTTGGTACCTAGAAGAAGAAAAAAATCATGTTAACTTGGTTTTCGAAATCTAGTTGATTATATTAACCTTTTCACCAGTACTCAATTCAAATGGACTGTATCGAATACATGTACCATAAATGGAATGATCCATCAAGGTCAATTGAATTTGTGGAAAGTCTCGCTCTAGTGTCTGTCCCAACCAAGAATTCAATCGATCGAAGTACGAAACATTGTTGTCTTTGTCAATTGCTTTTTTTACAGCTGGTTCTTTCATATCTTCAGTTGGAATATTCAAACCAGAACCATCAAATTGGAATAGAACAACAGAAGTAAATGAATCAATAGCCAGTGCTTCCTTTGGATCATAATTTACAGGTTTCTTAGAAAGCAGTCTGAAGCCTTTGGTCTTAGCGACCATATCGTATAGAATGTTGCAACTTTGAAAAGCTTGTGCAAAGGAATCAACAATCTTATCACGTCCTAAATTTTGAATAACAGTCCACAGAGGAAAAGCATCAAGCTTTCTCATTTCACTTTCAATTTCAAAGATTCCTTGTTTTAATGCAGGATATTGTCGATACAATAAAACTATTGGAACTGTTGGTAATCCGATCCAACTTTCAAAATCAAGTGTCATTGATGAGATATTCATTGTGATGTCAGACTGTGCATTTGAAAGAGACAAAGCAGCTATCATAGGACCACTAATGTGTAGCCATAATTCATGCTTTTCACTTATTTCGCTTAAATCCTTTAATGATCCATTGATTCCGCCAACAAATGATGATCCAAGGTCGGCAAATAAATACAGGGGCACTGAATTGCTTGTCTTATCAGCAGCAATCAGTTTTTCAAGTTCATTCATATCAATTGTCTCAGTTCCTTCGACTACTGGAATTGTTCTGATTGAGCTTTGTGGTAGACCAGTAAGATGCACAGCAAATTTCAAATCTGGCAAGTATGGATTACTACTTACTACATAAATAGAACAACTTTTAATGTTGTTTAGGCCATCCTTAATATAATTTTCAAATTTGCATGTAAGAGCAAGTCTCAATGACTTTGATAAGCAATCCGCATTAGTAGGAAGAAAAGTAGATAAGGAATTATTGAGGAATAAAGACGAAATCCAATAAGTCACTTGTTTATAAATGTTATTTGCTATCTTCATCAAGCGCGTACCGGGAGAAATGTTTTTTATATAAGATAAAACAGACTGCGAAACAATTGCCAAGTGTGACACGTCTAAAATGTTTTAGAAATAAAGGAAAAAGCAGCTTTAAAAGTGTGAAAAATTTGACATTTACCGTCAAGACTCGGCATAAAAATTTCGTCTTCGTCATCAGAATCAGAAAGTAATATCAGATGTTCTAGATGATTAAAAATCTCATAAGCTGGACGAGATTCGACAGGAAAATCAAGATTAATAGATGACTGAGTTGTTGAAACTCTCGTATCCACTTCTGATAGCTTTGTGATGATTTTTGAAGTTTTACTAATGATGTTTTCAACTTCCTAAGAAAAGTTTTCATTCAAATTTGTTTATTTCAGTGTTAATAAATGACAATCGAGTTCCCAACTCACAGATGTCTCTGGAACTTGTTGATCAGTCATATTGCACACTTATATTCACAATTATCTCCTTGATTACTACGTAAATTTTAATTTTATTAAAGCAAAAACTAATTCATCCACGTATTTACTGTTGAAAACAAAAGCGTAGTTGTCAAACACTAGGTTTTAAAAATTTCAAAGACGTTATGATTAGAAAGATTTCAAAAAAAAATTCTTCTATAACGGAAAAAAGTTGAGTTCGAATGATTCAGGAATCCACAATGATTCAGATTCGGAAAAAATGTTCAAAAATTCCTTGTGCACAATATTTTTCCAACACATTAGAAAATTGAAAGTTTTTGTTAATTTCTCTTGATTTGAATCTTTTAGCATCATCTACATAATGTTTTCGTTCATTGCTCAAAAAATTAGTCCCTAATATAAAGGATAAACATGATTTTTTACCAAAAGTTTGTAAAAGTTTATCAAAAAATATTGTGCATGATCAAATTTTGTATGAAAATTTATGTAAACTTTGATCGCAAATATCTCGAAAACGGCATCAAACGGCATGTCCTCAGTAATATGGGAGATAGATTTTAACTTAATTAATGGATTTATATAGGTTTCAGAGAGGTCTTTGGAAGACTTTTTAACTTATGAATAGTTTAAGTAGTGTAAAAATACTCAGATTTCAATTCCATTTTTAGGGCTTAATACGCAGATTTCTATTGAGTTGGTTGTTTTAGTATGTAAAGCTAAGCTTAAATTAGCTAGTAACTGCTTCCAAGACATCCAAATAACAACTTAAAGTAGAAAAAATCATATTTTTTTTTTCATACACAAATTGTAAACAAATTTTGGGTGAGATTAAATTAATGATTTCTGGAGTTAGACATCAAATTGGGACGAGATATTTTCATAGGATATGCCTCAAGTTAAGATCTTTAATCTGGCATTTAAAGGACATAGTTTAATTAACATGAAATTTTTGAATTTTTGAACATTTTTTTCGATTCTGAATCATTGTGGAATCGTAACCTGAGGATTGATTACTTTATAAAAAATTAAGATTGTTTATATGCAAGTGGTTCGGATCTCACTATAAACTGTAGGTCTAAAGGGTGGGGTACAATAGATTCTGTTCTAATTTGATTCGCAGTGCCTCCAGCTGAAAGGCTGGGCCCTTCACACATTATTATTATATAATGCTGCTGCAAACTTTAAATTAATTGTAATTAAATATTGTTATTTTTTCTTATAATTCATTAAAAACAAATAGTAATTAGTAAAGGATGAAATTCTGAGAACTTATTATCTCCTAGCAATCTCCAATGATAATAAATAAGGAGAAGAAGTTGGAGATATTTGTGATGAAAGAAGATCAACTAAATTAAGAAGGCGTTTAGAGCACTGAAATTGAACTCATGAATTAATGAAAAGGATGAGACAACTAATTGAAGAAATAACATTTTTATTGCTTTGTAGATTCAGTGTTCCTCCCCATTCAGATTTTTAAGGATTCAAATTATACCGAATTACCTGAAACTTACTAATTATACTAAATGAGAAGGATAATTAAATTTTAATATTTTGCTTGTTTTATCTGCTTTAAAGACAGTAAAAGAAAAATATCTCTAGGTGACGGATGAAAGAAGTGGCAAATCTGCTCTTATCATCTCATCATCAAGCAGGTCAAAGATGCCTTAAGTTAAGTAATACATTGTAAGATATTATAAAAATATTTAATTAAAATACTATTGTTGCATTTTTATGCTGCATTCATATTGCTGTTAAATTTACCACCAATTGAAGAACCCAAAAAAAAAATCTTCAATCGATTTCACAAGAACTGTATTGTATTGTTGTGATTTGAAAACAATTTTCATTGAAATCTATTTATGAGTTTCACACTTTGAACCTTTTTTTTCCCTCTTTTATTATTATTATTATTATATTATGTTCCATTCCTCATCCATAAAGAAACGACCAAAACGACAAGACAGATATGAGGGATAAAGGAGATGGAATAGTAAAAAAAGAGAGTGAGTAAGATCTTAGCACCGACACTAAATCATAAATCAATAAAAATGAACTAAGAATGTTGAGGAGAAGTAAAAATTTATTAATTCTACCTGTTAAGTCCCTTTATGAGCATGAATGCTCTCGAACAGAGTAAAATTGAGAATAATGGGAATACAAAGGAAGGCACTTGAGAAGTACAAAAGGAGCGTAAGAAATTTATTGTTAAAATCTGATTTTGTTCCATTCTTACGTTTTCTGGTTCATTGTCTTTTCAGAGCCATTGTGCGTTTGCATTTTGCTTCTAAGAACTTTTCTTTCTCCTAAGAAAATTTATTTTCTCTCCGTCTCTGTTCCTCAATTCTACCCTCCCTTCTATCATCTTCAGTTTATTGAATAAAGGACATTATTGTAATAGATAGAATAACAAAAAGAAGAAAAGAATAAGCGGATTGCACTTTAAATCCATTTAAAGAAAAATTTGTAGAAATTTAATGATCATGCTGGGGTACTTGAACGCATTTCTTTTTAACCGTGACATACTTGAAATGGCTTATTGATGCTTGGTGTAGGAGAAGGTTGAACTAAATTTATAGTTTTTTTTTCATGCTGAAGATTAGTTGATCATTGTTTGAGGGAGTCGACTTTTGTTTGAATTACACAGAACTCTAGCATGATATAACATTTGGAACTCCAGATCTTATACTTGAATTTAGTAAAATCTGAATGAAAGGCCTGGTTAATTTTGACTTTTGAATAAATTCACTTTGGCACCATCAACAACTAGTAGCATCCATAACTAGGGTCTTTATGTTATGCTCAAGAGATCTACAGCTTTAATAAGGATCCAAACATTTTTAATTACCATCGTTGGTCATGATCAGAGCATTCTAGACTTCTTACTTGAATATCAAGATTCGAACTCACGCAGTGAGCCTGATTGATAACTTATAAGTTCTTACTTATGACTACATGCATAGTCTAAGAAGATTAAAGCTAAACATAGCCTAAGATCATAAAGTAAAGTCAAAATGCATTAAAAATTGGCACATCCTAAAAATCCTGTAACAAAATCACATGGAGGGTAAAGTTTTCCAATCAAAGATGCCTACATATCGTCCTTTGTACTTGAGATAAGTGCCTTTTGTCAATCGCAAGGTGTCTAAATGTTTCTCACACATAAAATATATGAGGAATTTTTTTTCTCGTTCTCTCTCTTCACGCATACGTGCAGTAATGTGTAGCTATAGTAAATTTATGAAAGAAATGTTAATTATTTTCAAAGAAAAACAGTCTCGATCTTTTCTTTTTTTTGTGAGTGTCCTTTTAAATGCTTCGACAAACGAGAAAGAATACAAAGAAGAACGGAATAATAATAGCAATACAATGAGAAAAAAACAAGATTTTGTTCATCTTAAGACCATCTACACAAGCAGTGAAAGAGATGGTAAATTTGACTTCATTATTCACTCAAGAATTATGACTTTTTGATTTTCTTTTAATCTTCTTGAATGGATAAGTTCTGATCATTTAAAAAAATGAGAAAAATCTTCTTGTTGGACGAAATTATTTCACATGTAATGATGTTCAAAACGTAACAATTTAATTATAATCGCTTGCCTTTTCATTCTCATGTTTTCTTATTTATAATCGTCTTCCATCATCTCACTTTCACGCGTTTGGGAGATGTATTCATGAAGAAATTTTACTTCCCAAAGCTAATCCTCCGTAAATAAATTTTTAAAAATGGGATTCGAAGATTCTTACAAATTCACTTGAAATTGTTTTTGAAGATGGTGAGGTAGATGCACTCGTGAGTGACCCCATGTAAGCTAGAAGTTGGTATTGATGAATTTAGGAATGCTGTGTCATTTTTGAAGCTTAATAGGAAATGTAGAGTTTCTTTGGTACAATATACGAACCTAGTAACAGTGTCTGAGTTTTAAAACTTACATCCTGTAATAAATCCTTGTCATATGAACAATATTCTTATATAATTGATTGAGAGATCAATTTCTGGTGGGAATCGAACCCCTACCTTACAAAATAGGTACCTAGTCTGTTGCCAAAGCACTCGCACCACAGAGGCTTAACTCTCGCACTAGCAGATTCGCCTATATATGGCTCTAGATAGCTCATATCCCACTTTACACAGACACCACACATCCAAATCACGCTTAAAAAACTTTTTGTCTCAAAAAGCAATCGAAAAATTACAAAATATATACTGCATAACAAATTCACAGCTAGAACCCAAGATAAGATCCATTCTTTTGTGCTTCCTCACCTTTTCACACAACAAACAACTACCAAAAAGAGATGCGTTATCGATAACTACTTAGTCTATCTTGTTGTTGCTGTACATTCCAATCTGCGTGTAGATTTAAATAATCTTGTCATAAGTCGTTTATCTTCCAATCTTAAAATAAATCATTAAGCAAATTAATAGACAAGAAATAAAATTATGAATTTTTGATGAACAGCAAACTCAATGTTGCATACTTGTTGGCACATGGGCCAAGATAATTTTTGCATTTAATTAGCAAATTGATTATATTACTGGGGAAAAAACAAAATAATATTGAAAGGAGAGATAACCGGACACTAAGCAAACCAGAATTCCATCGTGTTTACTCAAGAACTTGTAGACTTTATTTTAAGACTTGAAAAATATTTTTTTTTTTTTTTCATAAAAGTTCGAAGTTCAAAGCACTTGGGGGGAACAGAGCGTAACAGCGATGGAATCATCCTCGAAATCAATTCTTTGGAATCTTTCTACCTACCAATAATCAATTAAATTAGAAGAGCAAACAACAAAGATGTACAAATTAATCCATTGCAATGAAATACACGCCACTGAAAAAAAAAAATCCAGCATCTTTTATTTAAATTTTTAAGCGCTTGAAGCGATAATTGAAAATGAGGTTCTTATTAATACATAGAGCTATCTAGCTTTAAAACCAAAAAAAAAGTGAAGAGCTGGAAAGAAGGAGATAATAATTGCCCAATAATAAAAAATGAAAGAAGAAATGAGAAAAATTTGTATGAGAAGGAACAGAGTGGTAAAAAGATCATTGTGGGATGTTGGGTCAAAGCGTTTCTTTGCCAGCGGCTGCCAATCTAGCGTCCTACACGTCAAAATAAATTGG